TATATATATACACACATATGTGTGTGTGTGTGTGTGTGTGTTACGACAGCCAAGTCAAATTTGTCTGTCATTAGCCACAGCTGAATAGTATTTACTGATTTCACTGATGCATCTTAAAGAGTTGCTGACCTCTCCTGACTTAACCTTTACTGCAGTCCTGAAGTGACTGTGACATCACTGCTAGGTCACAGCTGAGCACAGCTAATCACAACTACTGATGAAGCTGCAGCGTTCAGTCTTTGAGCCAGAGAAACACTGATATTACCTCTTTAGGCCAGGATCATCTGTTTATAAACCCTATCTATCTATAGAACCTCAGCAAGCAGTTTCCACAGTGGCAGCTTCACATATCTTGCTTTGTCCAAACAACAGCCACAAATTCTCCCATCTAGTGTTGGCTCCTTTTCTTGAAAATGGAGTTAGACATTTTGTTTATTAGGATCAAGTTGGCTTCATGAGAACAACAGAGGCAGTTCTTCCTTTGATTGATTATCAGAAGAGCTGTCTATCAATTACAATGTGAAGACTGTGAATCCACATTCTGCTGATCCTCCCCGAGTCCAGGAGATGGTGCTGCTGTCAGCCGATTGGTTAAAGACGATGCCCTCTCTCACCGATTGGATAGAATGCTCATGTCACATCTTTAATGATCTGTTTACCTTTGGCCACATGGTCCACCTGTGCTGAACTGACATCAGAAATATCAAGCCTCAGTCCAGGTCCAGACTCCAGCCACAATCTGTTCTACAATTCAGACTGGAGCAGAAAATAAACACGATCAGATTTTAAATCCAACAGACACAGGGACAACCTCAGAGTATATGCTCGTCATGCACAGAATTAACAGTGTTAGACTGATCCATATTTATCTCACAAGTCTGAGCTGATGTCCCAAACTCTAACCTGCAGTGACATCTTACAAACATCAAGGTGGTCATCAGTGTTTTCTGAAGTCTTGATGTCAGAACTAAAGTAGGACATACAATAAAACATGAGTGAAAGTGGTCAACACACAACGAGACCAAAGACACAAGGAAAAGACTGGACTCTGTAGCAGCGCACACACATGTTGGTATTTTTATCTTTGTGAGGTCCCTCTGTGACATAAAGAAGCCCCTAGCCTCTAACCATAACCTAAACCTGGTCCTAACCTTAACCCTAAAATCAGGTCTGAACCCTCAAACAGCCCTTTCAAGGTGTGAGAACCAGTGACATCACACTACAATTTGCCCACGCAGCCAAAGAAAGATGTGAAATAAGAAAGACAATACAAAGACAAACATAAGTAAACTCTGCTAGGAATCATAGGCCAGAGCAAAAAAATAGTTTTTAGTGAGGATTTAAACTGACAGGTCAGAAACTCATCTGAGATTTGAGGGTAAGGATCTCCATAGTCCTGGGGCCACTACTGAGAAAGTGTGATCTCTCCATCAACATTGTTTGACCCTGGGAACGTCCAACAAAGAACTATTTGCTCTCAAAGCCCTACGACACTGTACAAGATCAGAAAAGCATTCTGGGTAACCAATGAAGAGAGGAAACGATGGGATATATATGGTCAGTTTGTGAGAGCCCGTTAAGAGACATAGAGCAGCACTTTGCACCATTTGGATTTTTTAGATAAAAATTTGTTGACCCCAGAATACAAAGCATTACAATATTCTAATCAGGAACTAATAAAAGCATGGAATGGCAACCTCCAAATCACTAAAAGATGGAGCCAATCCCAGCTGACAGTGGGCGAGAGGCGAGGTCCACCCTGGACAGGTCTGTCACAGGGCTGACATGTAGACAAACAACCACACTCACTCACTAGGAGCAGTTTAGAGTCTCCTGTCAACCTAAGCTGCAGGTCTTTGGACTGTGGGAGGAAGCTGGAGAGAACCCACGCAGGGAGAACATGCAGACTCCACACAGAAAGGCACAGCACATTTTTTGCACATTCAATATATTTTTCAAACTCAGTCCATCTGATTGGGTTTTGTCTCACAACATGCTGCTTTGTCATAGAAGGAACATAATCTATCAAACGGACTATAAAGATGTGGAGGAGAATATCTGAAAAGTTTAATAAGACAATGGGTTTATAAGTGACTGTACCCATATAAATAACCACAACATGTAATAACGTCTTCCTTCTATGGACAGACTTCAAATGTTGCTGGTCAGTGAATTCATCTACTGGATTCCTTGTCTGGAGAATAGAGTAGCCTCAGGATGTGAACAGTGTTAGTTTTGTAGATTAGCAATGTATTATTAATATATTGGTAATTGAAAACATCTTATTATATCTGAGCTGCTAAACATCAAAGCAGCTATGTACATACATACTGTACCTCCGGCACACAGGTAAGCTCTTCTCAAGTCAGTCCTATTAAATTTCTCCTCTGCCTCTTCAGTGTGATGCCAGGCGTAACATCAACTCATCAAAGGCTGTGTCCATATCCCAGCTGGTTTCCCAGATCTGATGTTTCCCTCTCGGTGCCTCAGACCTGATGTGTCCACAGCAGTGTGAACAGACCAGTCCAGATGTCCTCAGACCAGATCTGGGCCACCTGCGTATGTGCTCCTAGGCCCGATTCCTCTCCAACCTCTGACCGTGCAGCGCCATCAGAACGGTCAGATCAGAATCCATGTGGTCGTTTTAACGTCTCCTCCTCTGCGCATACGGCCTGTCGTCATCATTCAGCATCAGCCCCTCATGGACTGGTAACAATAAACATGGAGGAGAGCAACGGGGTCAGTGGAGAGACCAGGACGTTTCACATGTGGTGGACGTTTATAGAGAAGCTTCTGATCAGGACAAACTGGAAGGAACATATCGTAACCCAGTGGTTTGGGAGGAAACTGGGCCGTTTGACCGTCACACACACAGATGGGAAGCAGCAACACACAGATCAAAGCTGAGCATTTAGGCCTGGGATGTGGACGCAGCCTGAGCCTCCCAGACAGTTTATCTGAATGGGATACAACCAAAACCTTTCCTCCTTTCATTTAGAAGAATCTGCAGAATTGTGTGATTTTTTTAAATCCTATATTCACACTACAATACAAGGTAGAGTCTAAAACATTGGGTTGTTTTTTTATGACTATATGGTAAATTACATTAGCCTCTGAAAAACTGTGTGGAGCTTATTTGCATCACTCTTGGTGTGTAAAGGCCCTAAGTGTAATGTTCAGGCTGGTGGGCATGGACAGATTACTGAAAAGGGCCCCAACAGTCACTACAAACAGACACAAAACACAAATAGTCGTAACTACAGAGACAAAATGACTAAAAGAATGCAAAAAATACTACGAACAGATGCAAAATAACCACAAAGTTACATGTCTGTGCAGATTCTCAGTCATCCAGGTCATAGTAAGCTGAAAAAATGGATGAGAGGTGAAACGTCTTCGACCTAGAAAGTTTTTTCAGCTCACAAAGTTCTGTGTCCAGGGGCCTGTGGTCTCATAATCTGTCCATGCCTATATGTGAAGATATTTGAGTTGCTCTGTGTCTGTTGATAACAGGTTTGGATCACAGTTTTTCATCACATAATCTGATGTGTATATAGATCCTTTTTTTTTTTATTACCTGGATAGAGACTGCATGAATGAGCAGAAGCAGTGTTATGTGGGAACTGTTGTTTGCTTAACTGCATTCAGCCATCAGCCTGCAAGCTGAGCCACACACTAACCTGAAGTTGAATCATCAAGCTCAATGAGGAACATCATGAATGTCTGGAGAAAATATGGAACATGTACAACGGAACATCTGGCCCAGACAAAACCAGTCTTTAATCAAAGTCAACAAACACTGGACCTGATTTAGGAGTTGACTGATCAGAGCCATCCTGTGCAGTTACAGGATGATTAACATGATCTTTGCCTTGTCTTTTCTCACACTGGATGTCTAGCTGTGAACAGGTGATCCGGATGTGTAAACTGATGTGTTATTTAACAGACTGCTGCTAGGTGCTTTATTGAGTTTACAGTAGGAGCAGCTCAGCCTCAGATACAGCCGTAGGCCGGATGCCCCATCTGTACTTGCTGACACCCTCTGATACCCCTCTGCGGTTCAAACTACACCCTCTAACAGTACAGGCCGATGGGAAGTCACTGCTCACAAAGAATCAGGGTGTGTCTGAATCTATGCTGAACAGATCATCAGACCACGATCTCATCAGGTTTTTCTGATTACATCAGTATTTATTACCACCCTGAATACCTCTTCAACACCCTGGTACTCCTCATACCCCTCTTATACTCTCCTAACAGTCTGATACCCTCAAATCCTAGGATATGATGCTTCTAAAGTCCCAATACCTCCTGAAACCAAATCTCTGGTTCCCCATTAAATCCCTAACTCCCTTATACCCCACTGTACCCTCTGATACTTATACCATATGAAAACTTGGAAAACCTCATAATACCTTGTACTTTCTGCTACCCCTTTATGGCTCTCCATCTTATACGCTCCTGTACCCTCTGAAACCCCAGCTGGATGCTGAAAGCATCTCCTCCTCTGAAGGTCTCCTGATGCTCAGTTGTAAATAAACATATAAACATCATCTGACTGAGCCGCTTATTTTCTCAGGAAAAGATGTTTTCATATTCAGATTGTGCATGTGCCATCCCATTTGATATACACTTACCGGCCACTTTATTAGGTTCACATGTACAATTGTAGGGAAGTGGAGATTGGATATTGGTCTATAATTAGCTAGGACACCTGGGTCAAGAGTAGGCTTTTTGAGTAGAGGTTTAATTACTGCAAGTTTAAAAGCCTGTGGAACATAACCTGTTAATAGAGAGAGGTTAATCAGATCTAGTATGGATGTGTTGATTAGGGGAAAGACGTCTTTGAGCAGCCTGGTCGGGATGGGGTCCAGGAGACATGTTGATGATTTAGATGAAGCAATTGTTGAGGTCAACTCAGAGAGATCTATAGGGGAGAAGTAGTCCAAGTATAAATGAGGTCTTACAGATGTTTCTAAAACCATTGTAGTAGATGGCACATCTGCGAGAGCTGTGAGAGTGGTCCGACCAATTTTTTCTCTAATAGTTGTGATTTTATTTGTAAAGAAGCTCATGAAGTCATTGCTGCTGAGATCTAAGGGAATGTTAAGCTCAACAGCACTGTGGCTCTTTGTCAGCCTGGCTACAGTGCTGAAAAGAAACCTGGGGTTGTTCTTATTTTCCTCAATCAGTGATGAATAAAATGCGGTTCTATTATAGTTTCCTATAGCCAGTAATGTTATGTAGGTTTCTGCTCGAGTTTTACTCTGAACCAGGGCTTGTTGTTGTATGTGCAGAAGGTCTTGATGCATATTTGCATCCTCATGAAGCTGATGCAAGACATCACAGTGTCAGTGAGTTCATCCAGGTCTGGAGACGCAGCCTCAGATAAAACCCAGTCTGCGCAGCCAGAGCAGGCCTGTAGCTCTGACTTAGCCTGCTCGGTCCATCTCGTTGCTGTTTTGACCACAGGCCTCGCAGCTTTAAGTTTCTGCCTCTAGTTTGGGATGAGACCCAAGACCCGTGCAGTGATCGGACAGTCCGAGGGCTGCATGGGGGACAGAGCGATAGGCATCTTTTATTACTGTGTAGCAGTGGTCCAATGTGTTCTTGTCCCTTGTGGGACAGCTGATGTGATGTCTGCATTTGGGCCATTCATGGGTTAGGTTAGCTCTGATTTTCCCCAGATAACTATTACATGATCTACGCTGTGCAGCTGGAACCCAGGCAGCTGCATTGCACTGTCCACAACTGGTTTGCCGAGCCATATCTCCATGAAGCACAGAGCAGCAGAAAGTGAGAAGTCAGCATTAGTTCAGTTGACGAAAAGTTGTTCATCCATTTTGTTGACTAGAGAATAGAGATTCACTAGATGGATGGACAGGAGCAGCATATAGTTACCCCACTGGCGTAATTTAACCAGGGCACCCGCGAGCTTTGCCCTCCTGCATTGCCTCCAGGTCCCATAGATAGCTGCTTCTCGTCCGACTAGAAGGTCCACTCAACTTTTTCCATCCGTAAAAACAGGAGGAAGAAAGTTTGGAGCGAGCTGTTATATGTTTAAAAGCTCTTCTCTAGTGAAAGTAATTTAAGATGGATTGCAGAAAACCAACAAAAAGAGCAAAAGCACAAGAGAGCACGCATCCGTGGCACCACCTGGTCAAGTGTATGTAATACACTCAAGTCCCAGAGATAATTTTCCTTGAACATGTGAAATTGTTCTAACCTCGTACCGCTGTTTCATGACACGCCAAAGTTCTGAATGTATTTCCCGAATCCTCAGACTCTTCTAATGATACAGAATCAAAAATAATCCAATCCAGTCCAGGAAAAATATAATTTTAATCACTTTCTTGGGTCATACAGTTTCTTTTCAGTTAAACAAAGATGGTGACAGGAAATGATGTCATTTCTCTTTTTGTTGTGAAAGTTGAGCATGAATGCATTATTGAAACCTATATTGTTATTATGCAATGTATTATTGGAAATTAAGTGACAATATTATTGAAACAGTTTAAATAATACATTAATGAAGTTGAGCCGCTTTCACACAAAGCCAGAGTGACAACATCATTTCCTTCATTTCATTACAGTGGATCTAGAGCAGACCTAACAAAAGACCTAGAGCAGACCAACAGCGGACCTACAACGGACCGATGGTGGACCCACATTGGACCGACACCGGACCAACAGCAGACTAGAGTAGAACTACATTAGATCTACAGCAGATATAATAAAGACAATGAAGCTGTTTTCTGTTGTCCATCCAGCTCAGTGGTAGAAACACATTTATTCCCTTTTTTTTTTTTTAAAGAGATAATCACCACATTTATTTACATCTTCATTAACAACCAGGGACAAACAGGTCCACCGACACCACTACAGTACCTCTGTGGTCCTGGTCCAGTACCTGAAGGTTCCTGACATACCAACACCTCAGACCCAGAGTCCACTTCAGTCTCTGGACAATGACATTACATATAATCCTTCCTGCATGACTCACCTGTACAGACCCAGTCAGGTGTGATCAGGTCTGAGCTTAGAGATAAGAAACAAAAATGAACATTCGACCAACCAAAGTTCTGCTTGGTTATTCTGAATAGGGGCGCATGATCCATATTGTGTTTTCTCCCAGTCTGGATTAGATCAAAATGTCCCAGTTGGACATCAGGATTAGATCTAGCATTTTGTTTGTTCTGATCCAATCAGCTGTAGTGTTAGCTCTTGTAGCCACCTCCTCCAAAGACTGTCCAATCAGCTGCCCCCTTTCAGTAAGTCCAGGCTGTCCAATTACAGTGCAGGGGGCGTGTCCAGCAGGGGGGCATGGCTCAGAGATTCCCTCTTGTAGGTTTTTGGGGGGAGTTTGGGGACACCATGTCGGGGAGGCACAG